GGGTCTGTGGTCGGCTCAGGTTGGTGATCCCGGGGTCCTGGGGTCGAGCTCCCATAGGGCTCCCTGCTCAGGAGGAGAGCCTGCTCCTCCCTCTGCCCAAGTGCGTGCTCTCTCTCTCTCAAAAATAGGGCAGCCCTGGTGGCTCAGCAGTTTAGCGCCACCTTCAGCCCGAGGGAATCCTGGGGACCTGGGATCGAGTCCCATGTCGGGCTCCCTGCATGGAGCCTGCTTCTCCCTCTGTGTCTCTGCCTCTATGTCTCTCATGCATAAATAAAATCTTAAAAAATCATAATAATAATAAACGAAATCTTAATAAGACTTTCTGATATGCGTGCCTGGGTCAGGCAGGGCCTTCCTTACCAGGACATCCTTCCTTCCTTAATAAATCCACGCTCAGCCAATCTGCGTGCAGTGAATGAGGCACCTGGAAATCATGTGTCTGGGGACCTGCTCTAAGGCATCCCTGGGAGATCGGGGAGGCTGCGCTGGGTCAGAGGGACCCCCAGCAGCCCACACTTACTTTTCTCCAGCTACTTTCCGCACTAACTTGGCCTCCGTCCCATTCATGTCTAGCTCCCAGCCCCCAGACATTTTGGGGAGGGACTTGTGCTTCTGTATTTTCTTTTCCTCCTTAATCTCATCATTCAGGAACTCGACGAAAGCTTTGTCCCCTGCAATGAAAACCCATAAGATACAGAAAAAGAAAAACCAGTCAGTCTTAAACCAACAAACGACTTGGGGTGATTGCTGTGGGAAACCTGGCCTCGGACCGATTCTGATGCTTGTGCTGTTACCGGGGCTCTGCGCACGGAGTCAGACCCACGGGGCCTCGGTTCCCAACCTGGAAACGGGCTGGACACCCGTGGCAGGAGGCTGAGCTCAATTCTGGAAAAATGACTTCCAGCAACGAGCCCGTCACCGCGTTTCACAGCGAAGCCAGGCGATTCCCGTTACCCGCCCCAGACCACACACGACCTCCCCCTGCTTTTAACTCTGACCAGCCGCCTCCCGGAATCCACCTCCGAGGCTCAGGAAGAGCCGGCAGCCGGGGTTTAGCAGCATCACTGCCAGGAAGCCACCACTCTCACTCTCGGGATTAAGGCAGGAAACCTCATGCCACGTGGGATTAACCTGGAGTTGTCCGCTGCAGGGGGTCGTGAGTTTAGGGCCTTGGGCCCCCGCCCCAGCTCCCCGGACCACCGCCCCCCCCGCGCCCCCAGCCTCACCCTGGGTGTGCAGCCCGCCGCAGCCGCAGCCGCAGCCGCAGGGCCCGCGGGAGCGCAGGAGGCCCGCGCGCACAGGGAGCAGCCCGAAGGGCCGCACGCACGGCCGGGGCGCGGGCCGCAGCAGGGTCGGGGGCGGCAGGGCGGGGGCGGCGCGGAGCCCGGCGACCGCGGAGCCCAGGGCGCGGGGCACTCGGCGCAGCAGCGGTAGCATCGCGGCAACGCACGTGCGGGCGCGAAGGACGAACCAGGCCCCGATCGCGGCTCGCGCGCCGCCGGAAGTCCCGCTCCTCCCCGGGAGCGCTTCCGCGCCTGTGCAGTGCGGGCCCAGGGCGTCGGGCTGGCAGCGCCCTCTGCTGGGGCCTCCGAGGTCAGCGGGGCCGTCGGCGCCGGGTCTTCCCGCGGGACCCCGAGCCCGAGGGTAGCTGCGCCCCGGGGCCGGCCCTCTGAATTCCCGCCACCCTTACCAAGCGTGGACACCACCCCGGCGTGCACACCACCTGTGTGCTCCTCCCCAGCATGCACAGCCCCGGCATGCGCACACACACGGCCCCCAGCGTGTACCCCTCCCCCCCACCAGCGTGCACCCAGCTCCCAAGACTTTGCATTGTTCTGGGACCAGGAAGCTGGGAGGAGGAGTGAGGCGCCCAGAAAAAGAGAGCTCTTAAGGCCCGGGAGAGGTCACTTGGGGCCTCCAGCTATTCTTGGCACCCACACCCTACTCCTAGCAGCTCCTCGAAGAACCTCCTAAGGCGGTGTCAGAATAACAAATGCAAAAGCCTTAGTCGTTACGGACTTGAAGGAATAAAAGGGAATGCAGAACTACGCGGGCAGCCCAACCGCATCCCAGACTTTAACCTCGCGGTACAAGTCCCAGGGCTGGTCCAAGAGCAAGGCGGGCGTTCCCCATCGGAGATGAGCCCAAGACCCCAGCCCGTGGCCCGGGGGGTGGGGGGTGGGGGGTGGGGGGTGGGGTGGGCGGGCGGGGCCCAGGCGCTAATCGCCCCTTCCCCTGGCCCCACCCTCACAAGGTTAAAGTCTCCCCCCGGGGAGAGCTGGGGCCTCATTGCCCTGACACAGGGCGCAGGTGAAGGTGTTTTCAACCTTGTACCGGAGCAACCTGATGGACGCCCCTGCGCGGGGGACACAGCTGCTCGCCCTGGATATTCATCCCTCACCCTTAATAACCTGCTCGCCTCTGCTTGGCAGTCACGGCTTTGGAAGTTATTTCCTTCCTCCTCCTTTGCTGCAAATCCTTTAGTTTTCTGTGTGGGGCTGCCCCCTGGGGTCGTCTCTGGTGGAGTTATTTGGAATGTCTCCGTGTGGTTTGGTTGGGTCCTGGGCATCTTGGAGCTAAGTGGTGGTTTCATTTAGCCCAGGGCCAGGAGCCTGGGGCAGAAGGCATGCAGCCACTCCAGGGCTTGGGGAAGTAAGGGTTAGGGAAGATTTAAGAGGATAGGGGCACCTGGGTGGCTCAGTGGTTGAGTGTCTCCCTGTGGCTCAGGGTGTGACCCTGGGGTCCTTGGATTGAGTCTTACATCGGGCTCCCCACAGGGAGTCTGCTTCTCCCTTTGTGTCTCTCATGAATAAATAAAATCTTTTTTAAAAAAAAATTTTAAGAGGATTTTCATACGCTGAAGAAGACTCTGGGGGATCCCTGGGTGGTGCAGCGGTTTGGCGCCTGCCTTTGGCCCAGGGCACGATCCTGGAGACCCGGGATCGAATCCCACATCGGGCTCCCGGTGCATGGAGCCTGTTTCTCCCTCTGCCTGTGTCTCTGCCTCTCTCTCACTGTGTGCCTATCATAAATAAATAAATAAATAAATAAATAAATAAATAAATAAATAAATAAATAAATAAGTAAGTAAGTAAGTAAGTAAGTAAGTAAGTAAGTAAGACTCTGGAAACCTGAGGCCTGGCTATTGTCAAACTCAGAGTCGAGGGCTTCCCAGAGGAACCTCACCCTCCGCCTCCCCCAGTACCTGTCCGAGGGCTGCAGGTTATGAGGACATGTAATCGTATCTACACTGCCTTCTGCCCATTCCCCCCCCCCCCCGAGTCTCCACCTGTGACTCACCCAGAGCAGCTCATGTTACTTCAGTGACAGAGCCGTGGCTTGTGTAAGATTTAGGTTCAAAACCTATAGGATATGGAAGGTATGGAGCCCGAGCAGGGACTGCACTCGATCCCCCAAACCCACCTGTGGAACCCAGTGTCCCCTGGCTGCCCCCATGAAGCATTCTTCCTCTGTGGGAGAGAAAACACAGGGGCGCCTGGGGGATTCGGTGGGCTGTCTGCCTTAGGCTCAGGTCGTTATCCCAGGGTCCTGAGATCAAGTCCCTAGTCGGGCTCCCTGCTCAGCAGGGAGTCTGCCTCTCCCTCTGCTTGTGCTGTCAAATAAATAGAATCTTAAAAAAAAAAAAAGTAAGAAAAGAGAAGGAAACCACAAAGCTAAAACTCGATGCCTCTGGCATATTTGCAGGAAGGCAGAGGGAGAATCCTGGCTACCAAGATGTGCCAAGGCCAAACTGGTCTGCGCCAGGTGGCCCCCAGCGAGAGCCTTTCAACGATTTTCTCCCTTATTCTAACACTGGAAATCACCCCCCCGGGGGTGGGGGGAGCGGACATCTAAGGTGCTAAGTAGACTTGCAACACCTGAAGAGGAGTGACCTGTAAGTGCACAGGCGCTAAGACCTCCTGCCTCCCTGTTAACAGGGCACCCTTTCCCACCCTGACCTCTCCCCTGGGAGTCAACCCAAGGACTCTGTCCTCCCTCTGTGGGCTGGTGCATCAGCCCCAGTAAGGCCTGGCCTGCACTCCCGCCCACCTGGTCAGGTTCTGCTGCTCAGAGAGCCCAAGGGCCCCATACTCCGTATCTGTAAAGTAGGTCTTCCCCCTACAAATGGTGAATAAGCATGTGAAATAATGCTCCTCACTCATCACCAGGGAAATACAGATCAAAACCATGATGAGATCTCACCTCACACCTGTCAGAATGGCTAAAAATGAACAAGACAGGAAACATCAGATGTTGGTGAGGATGCAGAGACATGGGGCCCTCCTGTCCTGTGGGTGGGAATGCAAGCTGGTGCAGCCGCTCTGGAGAACAGTGTGGAGCGTCCTCAAGTTAAAAATACAGCTATCCTACGATCTAGCCATTGCACTATTGGGTATTTATCCCAAAGATACTGATGTAGTGATCTGAAGGGGCACCTGGACCCGTGTTCACAGCAGCAATGTCCATAATAGCCAGACTGGGAGGAGCCACGATGTCCTTCGACAGATGATGGATAAAGAAGATATATATACACACAATGTAATATGAATCAGCCATCAGAAAGGATGAATACCTACCATTTACTCCGACATGGATGGAACTGGAGGGTACCATGCTGAGTGAAGTCAGTGGAAGAAAGATAATTATCATATGGTTTCACTTATATGTGGAATATACGACATAGTGAAAGGGACTCTAAGGGAAAGGAGAGGAACTGAGTGGGAAAAATTAGAGAGACAAACCATGAGACTCCTAACTCTGGGAAAAAAAACCAAAGGGTTGCTGGAGGGGTGGTGAGTGGGGGGATAGGTAACTGGGTGACAGGCACTAAGGAGGGCACTTGATGGGATGAGCTGAGTGTTATATGTTGGCAAATTCAATTTAAATTAAAAAATAAAAGTTTAAAAAGGAAAAAAAAATATGTTCCCGAATGGGTGGCAAAGACTAATTCTGAAGTATATTCTAAACAGCAGACAAAAGAGACCCAAGAGTCACACACGTCATGAACAAGATTCACTTTTAATGGATGACAGTCATGTGCAAACTGGAGGATTATATACAAGAGCTGCTGTCACTGTAGAGCTGTCTGAGCAAGAACAGACTCTCAGAATAAAACATCAACCTGAGGCACCTATGGGGGCTCAGTGGTTGAGCGTCTGCCTTTGGATTAGGGCGTGATCCCGGGGTCCTGGGATCGAGTCCCGCATTGGGCTCCCTAGAGGGAGCCTGCTTCTCCCTCTGCCTGGGTCTCTGTCTCTCATGAATAAATAAAATCTTAAAAAAAAAAAAAAAAAAAGTCAACCTGAACAAAGATGGGGTTTTCTCCTGCGAGTTATAGTACTCTAACCAAACTGCAGTAAAACCCTTGCTTCCCCACAGGTGCAGCATATCCTGGTAGGCTAGAGGACCCCACAGCATGCCCGGCCTGTCCTTCCCTCTGGACAGCAGTGTGACACGGACAGACGGGCCCAGTACTGCATGTCAGAGCAGAAAGGGACCACTCCACATGCAGCAGAGATGCCGCATCACGTAAGGTCTTGATCAGGGCCAGGGTGCCAGTGAGCCATGCCTTGCAGTGACCCTGTGTTGCCGGGAGGGCATCCACCTCCAGGAGCTGCTCGGGGAGCTGGTGATTCATCCAGAGATGCAACAGACTGGAAAGGAGGTGGTTGTGTCTCACCTCAGAGGTCTGGTCCAGCTAATGACACGAGCTTGTGGGTGGTGCTGCATCGTCATTGTTGTTAGGAAACGTGTCCTCCGCAGCTCCAAACGGCCGGGTATTTCTTTGTAGTAATATGTAGTCAGAATGGGTTTTCCAATCTGATTCAATCCCTGAGCAGCTAGGTTAAAAATTACCTTGTTTAAAAACCCAATAAAAAAACTACTGTATCAAAACTCTGCCAGAATGTTCCAGCAACCAACATATTTCTGTAGAGAAACATTAAAACTTTCTGGAAATGATTCAGCCTGAAGCCCTGCTGGAACAGGTCCTGAAGCAGGATAAGCTCAGTCTGAACGGTGCCCACCTGCCTGGCACTCCCTCCAGGAACAAGCGAACAGTCCTCTCCCATTAACCAGCATGAATCACATTAAAATACAATAGTTCCTCCCACTCCCCATCAGGCTGAACATCCTAGGCCTCTATTAAGAAATGAGAAAAATACACTTACAAAATTTTCTGAAAAACTCGTCAGAGTCAGCAACTGTAAGTAACAGGTGGTCTAAGGGCCAGCGAGGTCGGAGAAGTTGGTACAATGGGGAGTCCTGCGCCCAGCCTGCCCTTGCCCTGGCCGGATGCTGGAGGTTGGAGCGCCAGCTGGACACCTCCGACATGGGCCTGCGTCCAGGTGAGGGTTGTGCCTAGGTGAGGCCAGCAGGCTTGGCGGAGTGTGTCAGGTAGTGTGGCCCTGGCTCAGAAACCACATGGTGCACTTTGCAAGAAATGATGGAAATACTGCATATCTGCCTTCAGACTTGTGAAGCCCAATGAAAAACCAGCTTCTTTGAGGGCAAAGCAATCTTGGGAAAAGAGGACTTGCTTTTGGTGATTAAATAGTGAAGAGGAAACTTTGCTGTGTCTTTCCTCCTCCGAACACGATGCCAGGAAGGGACTGTGGGACTGCCTGACAGGTGGGAACTGGGGCGGGTGGGGGTGAGCACAGGCAGGAAGGAGCAGAGCTGCCGCCCAGCCCCCCCCCCCCCCCCACTGCCACAGGCCTCTGGGAGGAGAGTAGAGACAACAAATGAGACACAAGAGCACAGCCCCAAGAGGTGGGGCAGGTGGAACTGCCAGGTGAGGTTGGGTCACAGGCCCTTCACCTCTCCCCCCTCTAGCAGCCCCAATAGCCAGGAGAGGCTGGGTCCTCCTCGTGCCCCTCGTGCCCAGTTCTACTGCCAGGGCCTCTAGTGCCCGGCTGGAGAGAAAAGCAGCCAGTGGCCGCGGCCACCAAGTTTCCCACATCTATACTGAACCTGATCTGGGAGCTATAAGTCAACATTCCTGGAAACACGCACATGCCCCGAAAGCCCAGTTGGGGGTGGGCCACAGAGGCGCTCCTCCACTGTCCCCCCATGTTGGAGAAGAACATGGTAAGGAGGTCGGCCTCCTGGGGTGTGAGGTTCAGGAGGGAAGAGACCACAGCACTTGCACAGACATGAGGGCAAATCCAAGGATGACACCTGAGCTTCGCTACCACCTAGGGCCCCTCCCAGGAAATCCCCCCCATCCCAAGGCCTCGGGGTCTCACGGAGAAGCAGGGCACAGCCGGTGTGGCCGCACGGCTCCCTGGACTCCGGGTGTGTCCATGCCCCAGCAGGTACTGCTACTGCTACGCCCTGGGCAGGGGAGGGGGTGAACAGGAGCGTCCCCAGAGTTGCCCCGCAAAGAGGATTCCACCCACTAACCCTAAGGGTGGGAAGCAAAGACACTTCCAGGCCCACAGTCAGGCCACTCAGTCCCGGGTGGCCCTCAGCTTCCTCCGAAAGTAGTCGGGGGCGGCCTCGTACAGCCACTCGGCAGCCACCACGCAGAGGTCCCGCATGTAGCACTTGCTGGTGTGGAGCAGCTCGGTGTACACGACGCAGGCCGGCCTGCAGTGGAAGAGCGCGGACGAGGGGTGGATGGCCACGGGCTGGCGGCTGTCTGTGGTGGTGTATGTGCCATCGGGCTGCAGCTCGGCCGCGCTCATGAACAGGCTGTGCGCCAGGCAGCGGCGGATGCTCTCCACATCCCCACGGCAGGACACCAAGGGCATGGACATCTGCACAGGAAGAAGCTCTGTCAGAAGAAGCAAGTGGCCCAGCGGGGGGTGGGGGGGTGGGGAGTGAGAGGAGGGGGATGGCCAGCCCGGCCCAGGGGATGGGGCCTTTCCGCTCTCTCCCACCACGGCCAAATTCACCTTTCCATTCTGGGGTGCCAGTCCCCAGTCCTCCTTGAGCCCCAACCCAGCCCTATCCCACTCAAGGCCCCTCAGCCCAGGTCTGAGTCAGCCTCCTCAAGCCCTGAGGAGACGCTGGGCGCCTGCTTGACCCCTCCTTGGGGAGCTGGAGAAGAACTCAGGAAACTGACCACTTTCTGCGGCTCCCCCAGGGGAGAGAATGGGGGGAAGCAATCCCTCCAAGAGGAGGTGGGAGCAAGAAGGGCCTGCAGAGAGCAGCCAGAGAGGCCCTGGCTCCTGTTGGGTCCTCAGTCTCCCCAAGAAACCTCTCTACCCTCACTTTTCCCTTTTAGATGGCTCCTGGGGTTTTGTTCTTGGTAACGTGCTGGTCCCTGCCTGATGGGGACCCTCTGCTCTGCTCTTACCACCTCTGGGGAGCCAGCAAGGCCTGCAGCTCAATGGGGGCCTCTCCTTACAGGCCGCCAGCTCCTTGCCCTCTGGCTGCGATTCAAACTGAGTTCCTGGTAATTTGTCTGAACTTCATGTCTATGAAGTGGAAATAGCCCAGAGCCCTAGGGAGAGAGGGGGACCTGGGGCGAGGCCTGCGAGGTGGTGCGGAGACTCCAGGGGGCAGGTACCTTCAGGCAGATGTCCCTTAGCTGCGCCCTGACTTCAGCCGCCAGCATCATGTTCCTGCTGTTGACAAAATTCTCTCTGCACCAGTCCTGTGCAGGAGAAAATCCGCTCTCACCATGCCATCACTTCTGCAGATGAGTGATGTCACTGTGACAACAGCTGAATCCCGAGGGGGAACTTCAGTGGCCAGAAATAAATACAGAAAACCGCTTTCTTCCAGAAAGCATGCACTATAAGGAGAAACCGTAAATACCCCCTTCCAAGAGGAATATTCCCTCATGCAGGGAGGGTGCTGGCTCACTGGGGGAGCGCAACCCTGGGGGTCAGGGTTGAGGTCTAGCCCCCCGCTGGGCAGGACCGGTGCTTAAATATGAAACTGTAGAACAAATTCCCTTATGTGAAGTCGCCAGGGAAAAGCTACAGATGCGGGTACATGGGGGTACAACTGCCCCCAGGGTGCATGGATCCCTCCTACGCGTCTGACAACTTGGCAGGAAAACAGACAAGGCCGTGAGCACACGACTGACATGGCGCAGCATGAATGTCCCACAAAGGTCTGCAAGGGTGCTTGGCCTGGGGGCTCATGGCAAACAGTTGAGGGTAACAGACGCCAGAGGGTTTCATCTCCAGCAACGTGGCACACAGTTGTCCAGGGACCAGTGGGGCCGGTGGGGCCACTGGAGTGGGACGGCTTCTCCACAGTCTTCTCCACCGCTGGGGTGGGGGACGGGAAATGGCAGGGCTGTCGGTGGTGGGTGGCAAGTGGCGGGTACCAGCCCCACACCAACCAACGCTCCCCTCCGAGCACATGTTCCGGAAAACACCGTGCTCTCGGGTCACGGTAATGGTGCCACAAGGGTTGTCAGGTGCCCGCAGGCCAACCTCAGGACAGCGGCCACACGCAAGGGGAGGCCCAAGAACCGGCAGATCAGGGTTTTTGCTGTATGTACAGCAGCATTCTGTTTCCTTAAAAATAAACTCAGGCAAATAAAGCAGAACATTTACAATCATGAGACTGTAGTGGCTTTTTTTGAGAACGGACTGCATCACAATACGCCACTGAAGTGCACACAGGCCCACGTGTGGGTTTATGGATGAACCAAAGAAACGCACACATGTGTCAGGCCACCTCATTTGGAGGGAGGACTTACGTTATTTTGCTCATGGCAATGAGCACAGCGAGATTTTTGCTTTTATGGTAAAGGAGAAAAAGCACAAGCAGCATTCATTGTGTGTTCTGCTGTGAGCCCCACAAAAGGCGGCCAGGCCTCTTCCCTGGAGCTGCCCAGACCTTGGAGCCATGCTCGACCCTCCCGCATCAAGCCACCACGGGGGAGCAGCTAGGCTGCAACTGAGTCTATTTTGTAGAATTCTTAAGAACATGTGACCTAAGGTATCAGAAAAACCTAAGAGAAGTTATGTTTGGGGTCTGGGAACGCAAAAAAACATTTCCCCATGAACTAATGAGAACTGCTTGTTCATTTCATGCTGCTTTGGTGGACGAGGGGTTTCCCAGAAGCTCTGCTATCAGACAGCAGGGCATCCTAGATGCCCTTTCCATCCGGGTCTGGGGAACGGAATCATCACTTAAGCAAACATGACTATGAAGAAATGCCAGGGCAGGTGGAAAAAGCTCATCTTGTAGCTGAGAAGCTCAGCCACCAACTCGAGGGGCCTCTACCCCACTGAGGACAAGTGGAGCACAAGTGGCCGCTGTCCACTGATGCCCCCGCACCCTCTTGTCCACCACAAGCGAGACAAGTGCTCAGACCTGTGCTCAGGTGGGGAGGAGGCGCCACTGAGAGGGAAGGAGAGCCAGTACCTTATCCCCACCAAGGCTCTTGAAGGTGCGGTAGATGTTGAGCAGCGTGATGTGGTCCCCCTCACTGGACAGGAACTTCTTCCGCATGGCCTGCACTTCGTCCCTCCGGGAGGGAGGGTTGTACAGCACGCTGTCCACAGATAGTAGGGAGACGATGGTCAGGATCTCCTCAGTGCAGTGGAACTTCGGGGACAGGAGAATGGTCTGCAGATGGGAATGCAAATGTGGGCGCCAGCCTCTCTCCTGGCTTCTGAGCACAGCCCCTGCCTGTCCTGCTTGTGTGGTCTCGGATGGCCACTCGGGTCGTGTTCGCATCCTGTTCTCTAGGACCCGACAGTGCCCGCGCTCCTGCATTCCCCATGGGGAGGGTTCACACTTAGCAAGAGCCTGAGTCTGTATCGGACACATGGTAGGGGCGCCAGTTCCTCCAGTGGAGCGAAGGCCCCGGGGGACAGTGGGCCATGCAGGGACAGAGGGGACACCAAGGGGACAGATGACTTACTTTGGCAAATTTGGGCTCTAAAGGGAAAGCTGCCATCTTCCTTCCAATGGGAGTCAGAGTGAGCTGGTTGTCCTTCCGTTCAAGAGCACCTAACAGGTCTAGCTGGGCCACAGCTGCCTGCATGTGATCTACAGAAACAGAGTTGTGAGGAGCAAAAAACCCGAGGCGGGGGGAGGGGGGTGGAGTTGCAACTGGTCCTGAGCTTCAGGGAGCAGATGGCTCTGCGTCAAACCATGGTCCCCAGAGCAGAGCTGCCAGGGCTGTCACCAGCTAGGGCAATGGCCTATGACCAGCTTGCATCACACATGAGAAACCCATGCACAGACGCGCTTGTGGCCCTGCGGGGACCTGGAACTGGCCCTCAGAGGCCCCTGCTGAGAAACATTTACTGTTTCGTTCCTTCACTTTCTCACTCTTGACCACATCCATGCATCACCCACTAAAGAATAAAGCAGTATTTCTGAGGACAGAATAGATACATGATGAGAGAAAACAATGTGCAAGATACGTTGGGGGGAAAGAGCAAGGTGCATGGTCTCCGTCAGCAAAGGGACGTCTGAGCTTGGTTTATTCAGATGGGAACAGCATTGGGTAAGGACGGGCATCAACACAAATGAACCATATGAAATGGGCTGAACAGAAGGAAGGTCCTGGAAGAATCACTGGCCCACAAACCAGACTGCACGTGCCCTGCACTTGGGCTGCTACAGAGGATCGGGGACTGGCAACCAGTCCAGGAGGGGCCGCCCGGCTGACTGGGAGGGACACCAGCAGCTCTGGCCACAGAATCCACCCTCGGGGCTCTCAGGCGCCCCTCCACCAGCTGAGGTCACACACCAGGGAACCGGACAGGAGATCCCCAAATGCTTTTTGGGGAGCCCAACCCTTTGTCGGTCCTTATCCACCCAGGCCCCCACTGCTCCACTGGAGATGCTGCCTACCTGGAGAGGGCTTGGACATGAAGTCGAAGGTGAGCACGTTGGGGATTTTCATCGCAAGGAGCTGCAGCAGCACGCTGGCCAGGTTACACCTGTGAGGAGCAGAGACGTGGCTGGTGCACCTGCTTCTCATCCTCCAGCCCAGGCACGGGGAGCGAGAGCATCTCAGGGGCACCACAGGCCTACCTCTGGATCTCTGGCACCGTCATCTTCTCAAACTTCTCAAACTCATTCTCTGTGTAGAGCCGGTAACAGATGCCACTGTCCTCCCGGCCAGCCCGGCCTGCACGCTGCCACGCCTGTGTCTTGGACACACGCTGTACGGCCAGCACCTCCAGGCCGCTGTCTGCAGGGAGAAGGGACTGTGTGAGCACTTCACCCCCCACTATGAACTAGCGGTTTCCACGGCATGGACGACAATGCAGTGATACTTCCTGCAACCCAGGAGCCCAGAAACCTCGGGGCTGAATTGGAAGGCACAAAACCAGTGGCCAGGGCTGAGACAGAGTGAGTGGTGTTGCTGGGACGCCAGGAAGCCTGCTTGCTGACAGCTGGGGCCAGGAGAACAGCCGCAGGTCCCACAGAGACTGCAGGGCCACAGCCACACCGCTCTGCCCAGGGCCAAGGGCTGCCCAGGCCATGAGGCTCTTCAGTTCCAAGACCCGGTATCCAGGAAGCCAGGCTGGCTGCTCCTCAAGGTCCTGGCCCCAGTGCCTACACTGCACCCCTGGCTCTGCTCCAGGAGGGAGATGGTGTGACGGCACTGCTCCCAGGGGTGTCCTGGGTGAAGGTGTGCTCTGGGCCAGGTGCAGGTGAACAGGGCCTTCCACACGCTACCTCAGGGATCAGCGGGCCTCGCCCCAGCCCAGGGAAGTTTCCTGGGACACCTGCACCTCCTATGTCACGTCTAGAAAGCTCTCACTGTGGTGAGAGCCAGGTGTCCCTGGCTACGCAGCCCCTCTCCTGGCTGCTGATGGGCTCTTGGTCCTCCGGCCAGGCCCGGCCCCTGTTCTTAGGCTGGTGAATGGGCCCCGTTCCACGCTGCCTCAGCCTTGCTCCCACTGCCCATACTCCACCCCGGCCCCTGGTCAGTCTCTGCGAGTCAGAGAAGGAAGCGCTCACTGGGAGAGGCTTTGGGGCTCGCCGCCCGGAGAAGAAGCACTCGTGGCTAGATTCTCACCAGGGTTATACTTCTTTGCTTTGACCATGCCTGTGTCAACTACATATTTTATTCCCGTAATGGTTATGGAGGTCTCAGCAATGTTGGTCGCAATGATCACTTTCCGACAGCCCTGGTAAGAGAGAGAAGCCAAAAACCATAGGACACATGTGATTCAGAAACCTCAGAACATATTCCTCACAGTGCATTTCCACAGCCCACTTGCGATCGAGAAACGATGACCTCATTATTAGAGCTCCTAATACTGACGGGGGTAATTACATCGGGTGGCTGGCGGGGGGAGGTTACCGTCTTGAAGGCTTATGCTGAAGTGATGAGAGGCAGGGAACAGGCAGGTGTGGGCAGGACCCCCATCCCTGCTGGGCACTCCCTAAGCACCATTGCTTCTCCTCTCAGGGCCTTCGTGTTTACAAGATGGGAAGATGGGACCGCCACCTACCTTGCCGGTTCTCTAGAGGGCGAGGCCGTGAGCCCATGGTGTATATATGGTGCCTGGATGGCCCGCACACACGAGACATGGTGTGGGGGGTGAACATGGTGGGTCGGTGCCAGACACCTTCCACCTACTGCCTCTGCCCACCCGACCCCACCCCCAACTATTCCCCACCCTGTTCTCACCAAGGCAGGGAGCTCTGTCTGGGACTGTGTCTTCTATTCCTACAGTTTTTCGGCTACTGCACCTGGTACCTGAGCATCCCGGCCACAGGTGCCCGGGGACGGGGGCATGCTCACCTTGGGGGCCCCCTGGAAGACGCGGAGCTGCTGGGCATAGGGCAGGGAGGCATACAGGGGAAGGACCAGCATGGAGGGGCAGCCGTCTGGGAGGTGCTTAGCAATATCCCGGCAGGTCTTGCTCACGGCTTCGATCTCCTCCTGCCCAGTGAGGAACACCAGGATGTCCTGAGAAGACGGGGCCTCCTAGAGAAGGGAAGCACGGCATTACTAGTCACTGTCGAAGCCTCCTGAAGTTATTTTCTTAACGGCAGAGAGGTAAATGGGCCTAAATGAGGTGTCTCCCCTGGGGAGAAAGCCCTCACTGACGGTGCTCAGAGCTGGCACTTGAGGGAGTTAGCCAGCCAGTTTAAAAGCAAATTAAGGAAATGTTGAAGGAAGACCACCAGACTGCTTTTGCAACGAGAATAATACCATGAAAGCAAACCAAGCAAAATCTGCACAAAGCTCCCTTCTCCCTCTTTAGACATCTGGAAAGATGGAACCAATGGGACAGAAGCCAGCTGGAGAGACCGTGGCCCGTGGGAATGGGAAGGAGTGGTCACAATGGAAGAAGAGGCCTCATGAAACGATGCCACTAAAGCACTGGCACACACCCCAAAATCATGCCCTGGGTGGGGCTCAGTTGGTAGGCAGCTGACTCTTGATTTTGGCTCAGGTCACAGTCTCAAGGCCATGGGATGAAGCCCCGTATCGGCTGGAGACTCTCCTGCCCCCTGCCCCTTCCCCTGCATGCTCTCTCTCTCAAATAAGTAAATTAAAAAAAAATCCTGCTGCGTTGACCCCAGTGCTTAGACCCTGAAACTAACTGGGCTCTTGCTGTTTGCAAGCTGAGGAACACCCCAGCATTAATGACATACTCGCACACCTACCCTTCCTTGTGGTCTGTTCACATTATCTTCATTGGCCAAGGGGTTGAGTGACAAGACAACTACAAATGACGTTTAATGTTAATAAACACACACGTGCATGTGTCTATGTGTAAATATGCATGCACATGTGTTCATGAGCACACATAGGTGGAAAAATCAACAACAGTCAGAACCTCGTCAGTCACGCTCCTCAGAGCCACCACTCAGGAACCATCCTGACCTCATCTGCTTCTGGCAGGTGAAGCCCTTCCTGCATCTGGCATTATGTGCCGCGGGAGCGAGCACTTGCCTCCATCTAAATGGCAGTGGAGTGCTAAGCCCAGAGCAACAGAGGCAGCAGACAAGAAAAGGGATTGGAAGTTTGGACCCGTTTTGAGAGTGGAGAGGCGAGGAGTGAGGGACCAGGCAGAGGGTACTCCAGCCTGGGCGTGGTCTGGAGGGCCTAAGGAGGCAAGACACAGGCCTGTCGGAGATGACCCGAGTGAGGCATGGGTGGGTCAGGGGAGGGGGAACCCAAGGGTGGCGTGGCCAACCCCTGCTGCCGTCCTCCACCCCACTGGTGGGAGGCTGGGAGGACATGGGAGGCGGAATGAGATTCTACCTAGAAGCATGGCCAACGGGAAGAGTCCAGACAGGGCACAGAGGCCTAGAAGCCACCTGCCTTGAGCAGAAGGCAGCATGAGTTGCTCCGGGGAAAAGGGGAGTGTGCTTAAACACATGAAAAATATTCATGATTGGCAGATGGTAGGTGTTGGCACTTGGGAGAAAGCTAGCAATGGGCACACAGGAAACTCGTGCAGCCATGTCGTACGAGGCACGAGGCACTGGGATGGACTGTGCTGGCAACGTCGGGTTTTAAGGCTGCAGTACTGATTTGGGCCTCGGAACCATGATATACATCTATGTTGAGAGGGCAGAGGGAGGTAAGTGTGAATCCCCACCTGCCGCAGCAGGAACAGACACTGCCCAAGACCAGCAGTGCTGGCAGGTGACACTGGAAACACTAGAGTCCAGAGAAAGCAGCTAGGACAGTGAACAACGTCACTGTAAACAACGGGATCGGGAACATGGAAGTAAAAGCGGCTGTTGGGGTTTTAAAGATGTATTTATTTATTTGAGAGAGAGAGAGAGACAGAGAACGTGTGAGAGCAAGCAGGGGCTGGGGGGCAGAGGGAGAGGGAGAAGCAGGCTCCCCGCTGAGCAGGCAGCCCGTGGGGCTCGATGTCTTGAGTCTGAGCTGAAATCAAGAGTTGGATGCTTACCTGACTCAGTTGCCCAGGTGCCCCAATCACTGGTTTTTATCATCCTTATAGAACTACTTGCCTTTTTAAACTTTATGCACTTACCACTTAGATTAAAATAAAAATGACTTCTTAAAAACTTGCCTCTGAATTTCTTCAGAAAGTTAACCAGAAGGTACACATAGTCCATTTTATAAGGTCAACAAAAATGGGATATAATCAGTCAAACTTTTAAGTAAACATTTAGTATAATGAGAAAAGATTTTGAAATGTTTCCCTAATTCAGTTTTTCTCAAAAAGCCAAAAACTCTAAAGGAGTACTCGGTAATGGGTCAAAGCCAACTTTTTTAAACGAGGGAGCAAAGCACAGAGGACACAGCACCTCACAAGGCTTGCTCGGGGGCAGCACCGTGTGGGTTCCTGCCGGGATTTACAACCAGATGCTGTCTGTGCTGACGTAAGGTCTCCTGGCTCAGCTGAGACACGACGCTGCTCAGAGCTGAATTACTTTTCTTCTTAGAGATACTGAGAGATGCCATAAAAAATAAAAAGCCAGACCCACCACCTCATATCCATGGCACAGCTCACCGGGCACTTGGGTCGGCAGCTTGTCTTCTCAAGGCTGAACGCGCCACCCACCGCGAGGTCAGCCAGGCCTCTGCGGCCACCGGCGCCCAGCTCGTACCTGGTGGATCTGGAAGACGGAGACGAGAGCGGCATGCAAGTAATCCTGCTGAGGCTGTTTGGTATAAAACACCTGGATGGGATGCTGTCGACCCTCCAGATAGAGGACGGACGCTCCATTGAAATACTGAGAGAACAGGTCCACATCCATCGTAGCAGACATTACAATCACCTGCGGACGGGCCAGAGGAAGATGGTGGGAGAGCCAGATGGGGCCTGGGTTTCCAGGTCCCTCCCCAGCCCCAAGGGCAGACGGTGAGGCCCGGGCATGGCCTGTCCGGAGGCAGAGTGGGCACCACACCAGGCAGGGGAAGGGACCCAGGCCACAGCTACCTTGAGGGGCAGTTTCCGCAGCTCCTTTCTCCTCCTCTGGGCGGCTTTCACCACTCCAAAGAGCACGTCGGTGTGCACAGTCCGTTCGTGGGCTTCATCCAGAATGATGCAGCTGTACTTCCGCAGCAACGAGTCAGAGATTGCCTCTCGCAGCAGCATGCCGTCCGTCAGGAACTTGATCCTGGTGTCTTCTGAGCTGACGTCGTCGAAGCGCACCGTGTAGCCCACCTGTGTGAGGAACCCCTTGTTCAGTCAGCACCCGGCAAACCCCACCAGGAAACCGACGCTGTGTGAGCACTTGTGCCCTCTCGGGGATGAGCCAGCACCGCCCAGCCCTGCTCCCTTGGGGGCACACAGGTAGTGGACATGGCCTGGGAACTGCAACGATTGTAAGCCTTGTGGAGAATTAAGACCTAGACTCCTGCCTCAGCTACTTAAGTGAAGTTAAGCTACTTAAGTAAGTTAAAGTGAAGCTATGAGCACATAGGATGTCTGAGATGTTTCAACATGAAGCGCATGAACACACAGAGCTGCGTATGCTAGAGATGTGTCTGTGATTTCCTAGATGGATTTATGGATCTGACTGAACACAGGTTACTGGAGCCTTAAGGATGCTTGAGGGAAACACCTAATTTGTCCAACTTTCCAACAGACTGAAAGCAAAGCAAATGGCACAGACATCTGATGTCTGAGGAAACGGGTAAGACTCAGATGGGCCTAAGTGACCGGGGTGAGACAGCCTCCCTCCGTTGGGGAGCGCTGCTCTAGAAAGCACCATGCAGATGAGAGGGTGGACTGTCAGTGCAGGGGGCGGTGAGGTACCAGCTTCCCGAGCTCTGTTCTCTTCTCATCAGAGACTCGAGTGGCCAGAGAGATGGCAGCCACTCGGCGAGGCTGGGTCACGGCTATGACGCCCTGGCGGCCGATCCCCCCTTCATAGAGGTACTGTGGGAGCTGTGTCGTCTTCCCGGAGCCCGTTTCTCCTGATAAAGAAAACATGTCTCACTTACGTGCAAATTAACACCAATTCACCAAAATCAGGAGGAAAATATAGAAGAAAATACTCCAGGTTATAAAATCCCAGGAAAACGGGACTGAGGTACAGCTGGAGGAGTATCCTGGGGAAGTATAACTGGAGTTGCTTCTCAGGAGGCCAAATTGTATCAGAAACATCTTTAAAATGTTTATACCCTCCACCCACAACTCCAGGTACAGGAATTGGTTCTGAGGAAATAATTAGAGATGTAGCTTCAGAGACTGTTTCTCCACTTTGTTCTAGGAAGCAAACAACTGGAAACAATATAAATGTTCAATAATAGGTAACCAAGGAAATATAACTGTTACATAAAATGGTTACTTCTCCAGAGAATAAATGAGATGGGAAGGCGCCTACTCACATGGCCCCAGATGCTGCTCTTCCCTTCCGACCTCCCCTGGCCCACGTTTTGGGACACATCTACCATTGCCAGGTCTGTCCAGCATACCCAACAGGATGTCAGACTCCAGTCTCTCCCTGGAGCATTTCTGGTCCCTCATCCATCCACCTTAAACTGTCTGCATAACCACAGCCCCCCACCTCCACCTCAGGGTGGGGCAGGGAAGGTCCATCCCTTCTGTGAACTTGAACATCCTGCATACAGTTAGCACCCAGTATGGTTTCCCACCTGCTGGCTTCCTCTACCTGTCCCTAAGTAGAACAAAGAACTCAGCAAACCTGGATATCCTTCCCCTTGGCTACCACTAAGCTTCTCTGACCTTAGAGTCCTCAATCTCATTATTCTTGCATTTCTCTCTCTGCTCATCCTTCCTGACCCAGCCAAGAATCGCAGACTGAGAATGTGATGATTCTGCTGCAGTCCTACTGAGTCCACCTGAGAAAACCCCAAGTGTGGATCCATGTCTTCCTGACCATCTCCTGCTCCTACACCAGACTACTGGGCATTGCTAAAGCAGCATAGCCCATCATGCAGATGACGAGTGAGTCTGTGGTGCAGTCAGTGCACCTGGACGCCAGCACAACCACCGATCCTGTGGTCTGCAGGTTCTGCAGCCTGGCCCTGTCCCATCCTCCCCCAAGGGCCTGAGGCCCTGTGACTCCCATTCTCAGCAAATGTCCTGCACCTATTCCACAGATGTGAAGTCCTCAAATGCCCTCTCCCTCTCCCTCCCCTACAACCTTCTCCCTAGCCACACCCACGCTCACCTCCTTTGGCCAGCCCTAGCCTCCAGGATGTCCCTCCTCCTTCAGGCCAGCTCCCATCTACCCCGTTTCCAAGTGTCCCCCAATCTGTGCTGTATTCCAGCCTTGGTCTCTCCTGAGCTCTTCCTCCTCAACCAGGGAGCACCTGCAAACTCCTCAACCTCCTTCCGTTTCCCCCCTGCAGGAGCCTGCTCTCACCACCTTCCTTCCCTCACCTCCTGCTTCCCCCAAGCTCTGTGGAGGCGCTCAGTGGGCTCCACAAGGAGGACCTAGGCCCCAACACCCAGGGCCTCACACCCACGAAGGGGGGGGGACGACGACACACACACTACTTAAGTTTCTGGATGGGGCCTCACTACTGCACCTGTTCACTCTTCCTTCTCCCTGCGACTCTACTCCACTATCTGCGCCCTCCTGGGTCTCCTTCTTCTCTGAGCCCCCCCCCCGCCCCCCACAGCCCGTCCCTTGCGCACCTGACCCCTTCCCGAGTTCGTCCCACCCAACCCCCGGCTGGATGCAGATCGAGCCCCCGACCCTTAAGCCGCCTCTTAATTCGCGTGGGACCCGCCGGGTTCACACCTCCGGGCGGCGCCCCTCCCTCCCGAGCCCTTTGTCCCCCCGGTACCGCGGCTGCGGGGCTGGGGGCGGCGGGCTGAGGTGGCGGTCGGGGCAGAGGACGCGGCGCGCCCACTCACCGATGAGGACGGCGCTGTCCAGGTTGCGGAGCTGGGCCAGCAGCTGCCCCCGCGCCGGGAAGATGGGCAGGCTCCGGCGCTGCCGCTCCACCGCCTCGGGGTACGGGCTGGCCGCGGGCTGGGCCAGGGCCGGCTGCTGCCTCCGGCCCCCGCTGCCGCCGCCCGCGGTCAGCAACATCAGCACGCGCCCCTCCGGGGGCCCGCAGCCGGGCCGGAACCTCTTGGCCGGCGGGAAGCCAGCCTCCTCGGGCATGTCGGGCGGCCGCCGCGACAGGAGGCCAGCGCCCCGGCGGCCGACGGCCGGCGCGTGTTTGCCGCTTCCTGCCGCGCGCCGCGGCGCCCGCCGATGACATCACGACGGCCGCCGCTGCCTCAGCAGAGGACTACGACTCCCAGCATGCCCGTGAGGGGGCCGGAAGAGCGGGGCCCGAGGTACTACCGAGAAGAGGCTCGGAGCGACGACAGTGAGGGGCGGGGTGGGGGGTTCCGCACGACCCCCATGGCGCTAATGACGACCTTCCTGACCGGTTTTCTGTCCTCACAACACGGTGTCCTCACTGTAAACACGCGTGTCCCCTTCTCGCCCAGAGTAATTCCTGCTCTGCAAGGACAGCACTCTTGTAGAATCGGTGGGCGACGCGCACACAGTGCATCACTTAACCCTCTCTAGGGTAGGTGCTGACGGAACCTGGAGAACGAGCCTCGGACACTCGTGGAGGCCAGCGGGGCGAGGGTAGTGGTGAGCACCTGCCCCGAGGGCGGGCGGCCCTGCTAGCGGCCGCCGGCGCAGCGCGGGTCCCACCGGCAGGGGGCGGGGGTGGGGGGACTGTCGTTCGCCCTCCTCCCCCAGCTCCCAACCTAGCTCCTCCCCTAGCTCATCCCTTCGGACCCTCCACAGCCCCTCCAGCTCCCCCTCAGCTCCCTCCCCCAGCACTCTCCCCAGCTCCCTCCCCAGCTCCCCCTGCAGCTACTGCTCCAGCTCCCTCCCCAGCTTCTCCTCCAGCTCCCCCTGTAGCTCCTCCTCCAGCTTCCTCCCCAGCGCCCACTCCCAGCTCCCTCCCCCTCTCGATCCTCCGTTCCTTCCCCAGTCTCTTTCCTTCCCTTCTCCCAGACAGAACTCTTCAGTGCAGCTGGGCTGCTGGGCCCCATCACACATAATGAAAAGATTCAAGACTCCAGCAGGGAAGATAGGATGAAACCAGCAGATCCTCTCCGTTCTGCATCCAGAGCTCTCAGCTGCTGGCTCTGGGTGGAAACAGTAGCAGGAAGTGTGATTTCCAGAGAATCCATCAGATGCTTCAAGGCCCTTGAAGGACGGGAGGCATCCTCTTAAGTACATCTCTGGGAAACTCATCCTGTCTGTAAGCCTGTTAAAAGTCCTTCTTCCCATTTCCTCCAGGGAAGAGATGATGTTCCTGGAGCTGCTGACAGTGGAGCTGCTGACAGTGGAGCAGTCAAGGGGGCTGGGAACGTGCATGTATGTTCAGAATTGGCAAAATTACACTAACTACCGCAAAATGTTACTTTAGGAAGGCAATCCCCCCCACACACACCAAAAAGGCTAACCCCAAAACTGAAAGCAAAGTCACTGTTTCAGTGTTCAGGCTGCTGTAACAGAAGATACCCCAGGCTGAGTGGCTTGCATACATCGGACGTCCACTGCTCACAATCCCAGGGCTGGGCAACACCAGCACAGCTGCCCCAGGGTGAGGACCCCCTTCCCTTGCTGCTGCCTGCTGCTGTGTCTTCACAGGAAGGCAGAGACTAGGGGTTTCTCTGGAGCAGCTTGGTAAGGCGTTAATCCCACCACCAGGGCCGCTCCCGAAGGCCCCCACTTCCTAATACCATCACATCAGCCTTAGGATGGACACAGGAGTTTGGGGGAGGCGTAAACATTCACATCACAGCAAAAACTAAACGTTAACTCTCGAATTCTGGACCTTGAGTATGTAACAGAGGGACAACTGTCCTTTCTCCTAGCGTCCCTTCCAGACGAACGTCATGGAGGTAGAACGTCATGGAGGTAACCCATGCGCCTAGTGATTGCAAGAGTCCAGGCAGGGAACGTGAGTGAGTGAAGGCCCGCCTTGACGGAACACGTGCCCCATCTCTAGAAGCAGCCACTGGCCAGTCACCTCTAGGAATAGCTGCCCTGCAGGCCTGGCATTGCCATATCTTGCCTTTTTTTTTCTTCAAGAAAAGCCTCAAACGATTTTCATGTGATATCTGTCAACCTTCAGTATTGGCTCAAATTTTGTAAATGGTGCAGGCAAAATAAACCACATGTGTAGGGAACTCATCCACAGTCTTTGGCCCAAGGCCCCGGCTCCTCCCCAGTAGGTGCAGCCTCACAGCTAGGTGGAAAGAGGAGTTGCAGGGAAGGCCCAAGCCAGCCAGTGTCATGCACATCACCAGCCCCCCACAGGAGGAGTCTGAAGTCTGCTGTCCCTCCAAAGGAAGTCCCTTGTGGTTAAGTGGCTTCCACACACAGCCGATCATAACATAACCATCCAAAGAATGTCAGGGCTCTTCTTCCAAGAGGCGACTTGTCAGACACATTTCGTTTTTTTTTTTTTTTTTAACTGCTCCGGGGACCGTCTATTCTTATGATGCCCACACCAGCTGCTGGTGTTGCTGGCCGGCTGTCTGGCTGGCCCACCACACCGTTACCCTTTATCAGGCTCACTTTTGTTCCATGCCACTTCCAGACAATGCCAGGCCTCATCCACTAGGTACGAGTTGGCACGCACATACGTTAATCCCTGTATAATTGAAAATACCAGGGAATAGTCTGGTCAATAAACAACATTTTTTTTTAAAGATTTTATTTATTCATTCATGAGAGAGAGAGAGAGAAGCAGAGACCCAGGGAGAGGGAGGAGCAGGCACCATGCAGGGAGCCCGATGTGGGACTCGATCCGGGGACTCCAGGATCACGCCCTAAGCCGAAGGCAGGCGCCAAACCGCTGAGCCACCCAGGGATCCCAATAAACAACATATTTATTCAGCACCCAGGTGCCAAGCAGTGTGCCAGGCTTGGTGGTGGACACAAGACTGAAAGACGTGGACCCTGCCCTTCTGGGGCTTACATTCTCATGAGGGAGGCGAGACTAACACGTGGACCAGCGAGGGGCAGTACCAACGATTTATGATTTGCTGTAAGAATACATCGTACAGACTGGAAGCTTTACCGGGATCTAAAGAAAGACCATGATGTAGGCCCAGGAGTCAGGACTTCTTGAGGAGCCAGGCCTCGAAGAGACTCCCGTCTCTGCTAGATGTGGGGACAAGGTTCAGAGGGAGACAGTGTGCCCTGGGGGCTGCGAAGTCAGTGCAGATGTCTGAGCAGAGAAGGGGCTAGTTTGGGGCAAGTTCCACAATGTTAATGCAAACTCCTAAAATACGTGAGCAGCTTAGGGGATGTCCTACAGCACCGAGAATACAGACGGCACTTACCTGTGCAAGTTGGCTGTCTGTCTGGGAGACATGACAACCCCAGGGAGCCCCTCACCCAACAACTTGGGAGGCCCCAGACAGAGCGAGGGTGTCGCTGCCAAGGGCGTGGGCGCTCTGCTCTTGGACAGACCACACCCGGCACATGAAAGGCAATGGGATACAGGGCAGTGACAGAAGAAAAGCAGGTGGGAGAAGTGAACAGAAGAAACACACGATAATGTGCAGAAAATCTGTCTCTTGGGGAGATGTGAGGGGCACGTCCATCTTTCCCTCAGGAGTGCACACTGCATTTCCACAACAACTCCACCCCCAGCACCGGGACCCACATCCTCAGAGCGCGCATCAGCTGAACGACTGAGCCACTGGGGCTGGCCCTGTTCCCTACTTTAAAAAATAGTGAAAGGGAATAAAGGGGAAAGGAGAAAAATGAGTGGGAAATACCAGAAAGGGAGACAGAACATGAAAGACTCCTAACTCTGGGAAACGAACTAGGGGTGATGGAAGGGGAGGTGGGCAGGGGGTTGGGGTGACTGGGTGACGGGCACTGAGGTGGGCACTTGACGGGATGAGCACTGAGTGTTATTCTATATGTTGGCAAATTGAACACCAATAAAAAATAAATTTATAAGAAAAAAAAACAAAAACACAGAGGGCAGCCCAGGTGGCTCAGCGGTATGGCGACACCTGAAGCACCAGGGCCTGATCCTGGAGACCCGGGATCGAGTCCCACATCGGGCTCCCTGTGTGGAGCCTGCTTCTCCCTCTACCTGTGTCTCTGCCTCTCTCTCTCTCTCTGTCTCTGATGAATAAATATTAAAAAAAAAAAAAACAGAGAAACCTATTTCTAGACCCTAAGTAATTTTCAAGACACTTTTAATTCAACTCAAGCTTTCTCGAACAGAGCCAGGACGTGACAAAATATAAGAATCCTGTAAGGATCGTACATCCTCAGATTGGCATTTTAAAGTTTTTTTTTTTCATTGCTTAGAAAAAAAGCCGTCCCATTAAACCACATTCTGTAAAATTGTAACAGCCATGTTCAGTTACCGACCAGCAGCATGTCCACTGTCCGTACTACCTTTCATCACTAATGCATGTGCCATGAGAAGACATTAAAATACTTTCCCCCTCACTACACCACCTGAAAAATCCCCACTTAGGGTGTCAATTACATTTACCCTAAACCTCAAGTTCATCTTGCTGAGGGAAAGGTCATTATGGAAGAGTGCTAGCTACCACTTACCCAGGCTGCCACTCCTGGGGAAATGGTCCATGTCTACGTCCTATTTGCTAGAACCATCTGCAACCATCTCTTCCCTATGGGTGGACATCTTCATCCCGTGGGTTCTCTGAACTACTTAGTGTGAGTGCAAACCTGCAGAGGCCCAGAGAAATTAATAATTCTGGATGGGTCTTTATCGAATCACAGGCATTAAGTGTCTACTCCTCTGGACCCTAATTTTTACCTGGTTGTGAAGGTAAACCAGGTGCTTGGCTCTGAAAGGCTGCTTGGCTTTTCATTCAGCAAAATGACCAAAGTTAACCAGCCCAAGGCCCGGGTATTCCTAATTGGTACCTGTTCATCTGGCTCCAGAGTCAACATCCCAGGTCTAAAAGAGATCTATCTGTCATTTTCCCAAAGGGTGGCTGGCCATGGCATGTTTTTTCCTGGATATTTCTTAATGGAGGAATACAGAATCGGGAAGATGCCACATGAGCCCGGAACCAGCCCTCCGGTAGCTGCAACTCCTGCTGCCGCAAGCATCACCCTATACCCCCGTTTCCCAGTCATCCAACAACTGGAGTTTTGCCAAACCCAGACGGAGAACAAAGTATCTGGACAGCACCAACTGATCTTCCTCCTACTGGAGCTGGCTTGCTGCATGGGTAAGACGTGTGCACAGCCATGGCGCAGCAGCCACATACTTCCAGTCTTGAAACACGATCCCGTCGAAAGCTGAGGCGGCCTCGGGAAGAGCAGGCTGGCCCAGGCCTACACGGCAGCTAACTAGAACACACTGTCGTCATTTAAAAGATCACACACAAAAGCTTTGATTCAGTGAGAAGAGAGAGATGGAATTCAGTTTTATTTTGTCCTCTCTGAAACTTCCATTTACACCATGGCCTCGTCTATCAAAGAAGAAGAGGAAGAGAAAGCTCTGCCTTACACCCCAGAACTCAAGCACTCCTGTACTTGTTCGCCAGAGGCAGCAGGGTACTTGTTTCTCCAGTGGTTTGGCTCGGAGAGATTATACCTTCACTGCCAGGGTAGTGAGGAGCCACTGGCCGGCTGCTCCAAGTGTCTTCTGGATCCATTAGTGTACCATTCCATAAAGTGCTTCTGGAGTTAAAACTTGCCAAGCCGTCAAAAGTGTCCGCACTTTTGCAACACAAAGGATAAAAGAATCCCAAAGGGCATGTCACTGAGTCCTTCCCAGCTGGGTCTCATTATTGGCACTGTTGCTTTAACCACCGAGGCGCTGGCCCTCACCCCAGGCAAAGCCTCCTGGCCGCTCTTCAGGTAGTGGATTGTAATTTGGATCCTCGTCTGGTGTATCAAAAATAGCCTTCCTAAAAGACAGGGAACAGAGATCACTTAGGCCCAGAATCACCCCGGGTCCTGTCCTGCAAGGCCAGAGACTTCCCTCAGGCCTCTGACGACAGACACTATAGCTGCCCACCAAGGAAACAGTCATCACGCTGTGCAGATAAGTCATAGTAATTTCATGTTAAAAAAAAATTTCATGTTTATATTAACTCTTATCTCTTTTTTTTCTTTTTATTATGAAAGCAACACATATTAGTTGCAGAGAAAACAGAAAATACATACAAACATCCTAAATCTTCAGGAATAATCCCTGTTGATGCTGTCATCATTCTTCCAGAACTTTTATATATGTAATTTTATGAAAGTTAGATAACACATTTGTTCTGTAACCTGATTCACACTAAATATCACAAATCCCCACAACCAAGGTACCACCCAGTACCCACTGACAGACGGATCACCAAGATGGTCCATCCACACAATAGGATAGTAGTCAGCCTCACAAAGGAAGGAAGTTCTGACACCTGCTCAGACGTGGATGAGCCCTGAGGACACTGTGTTGATGAAACAAGCCAGACCCAGGAGGACAAATAGAATGTGATTCCTCGTGTATGAGGAACCGAGACAGACAGAGAGAGAGAGAGAGAGAGAGAGAGAGAGAGAGAGAGAGAAGCGCTGCCCCTGCCAAGGGCTGGGGATGGGGTGTTACTCAGCACAGTTTCACTTCTGCTGCATCAAGCATTATAAAGATGGATGGCGGTGGCACAAGCACACAGTGAGAGTACTTACTGCCACGGAACTGCTCGTTTACATTATGTATTTCTTTTTTTAAAAATTTTATTTATTTATTCATGAGAGACACAGAGAGAGAGAGGCAGAGACACAGGCAGAGGGAGAAGCAGGCTCCATGTAGGGAGCCTGACGTGGGACTCGATCCTGGGTCTCCAGGATCAGGCCCTGGGCTGAAGGCGGTGCTAAACCACTGAGCCACCCGGGTTGCGCACGTTATGTATATTTTATCACAAATGAAATTTTAAAAAGTTCACAAGTCATTCCAAGAAAAATTACACAGGTCATAGAAAAAGATAGTGTCCAAAAGACTTTTAAAATCCCCTTATAGGACCTGGGATCGATTCCCACATCGGGCTCCCTACATGGAGCCTGCTTCTCCCTCTCCCTGTGTCTCTGCCTCTCTCTGTGTGCCTCTCATGAATTAAAAAAAAAAAAAAATCCCCTTATAGGGCCATTCAAGTTCTCCTTAGAGAACTGATTATTAGAGACACCTGGGTGACTTAGCAGTTGAGTATCTGCCTTCGGCTCAGGTCGTAACCCTAGGGTCCTGGGATCGAGTCCCGCATCAGGCTCCCTGCTGGGAGCCCGCTTCTTCCTCTGCCTGTGTCTCTGCCTCTCTGTGTCTCTCATGAATAAATAAATAAAATCTTAAAAAAAAAAAGAGAGAATTGACCATTAAAACAGCATCCACTCTGGGCATTCGTATTTCTAATTACACTTGCCCGAAGCTGACAAAATTAGCTGAAAACTTCTACTTTATCATGGGGTCTGAAAAAGCACCTATACTTCAACATGAGCTCCTTTAATTCTCACAAAACAATGAAAGCAAACACACCCCAGTAGAAAAATATAGGGCTGAAAAGGCAATTCAAAAAGGAAATCCAAAAGGCCAATACAACATGAAAACGTTCGCTTTAATAATAATTAAAAGAAAGCATGTTCAAAACCTAGATTGCTTCTACTTTCCAAACTCAAACAGGACAAAATAAAGTGGGTGCGGGTGCAAGGAAGTGAGCCATGGTGGCCCCAGGGCAGGACGGGGCTGGGGGGGGGGCATCCCAGTGTAGGGCGCACACATGTGGAGGGGCCTGGTGCCGCGTGTCAAAGCCTGAGTAGGCTCAAGCAGGCACTCCCCATCAGAGGGCAGCCAACCCTGGTGGGTGTGAGGCAGAGCAGGACCAGAAGGCATCCGCATGGGGGATGGGGGCGCAGTAATAAAACGGGCTATGTTCGGGGTTCACTAAATAGGTGAAGATAGTAATGACAACGGAGATCAGGTTCCTCCCTGCCAGTGAGAATTAAGGAACTGTAGAAAAGGAGGTGGAGTATTCACCTGGTGAAACACTACTCTGTAGAAAGGGGAACAGATCCCTGCTGTGAGCCACGATGTGGATGAATCTCGATCCCCTGACAGTGAATGGAAGAGGCCTTACACCTAGGGGTTTAGCCACACATCCTGGAGGACTCCACAAGTGAAGCTAGCAGAGCTACAAGATCAGCCTGGTGATTGTTTCTTGGGGGATGGGGCAAGGACTGACAGACTGACGGAGAGAACCTTCTGGGTAATGCAACACTTCATCCTGATAGGAGTTTGGGTCACACAGGCTTGTGCATTTATGAAAACCCGTTAGTTGACACACTTGAGAGGTGTCCTCTCTTGTATGGAAATAAAAAAGTCTAGTCAGTGACATACACACTCAAGTACTTAAAGAATTAAGGATACTGGAATGGAAAGATGGACAGAGGCATGGAGAGATGTATAAAAGGCAAGAATAGTAAAATATAACCACAGAATCTGTGGTGGGTAAATGATATCACTGTATAATTTTTTCCACTTTCTGTGAGTTTGGACATTTTCATAATAAAACACTGGAGAAAAAAATACAGAAAGAAAAAAACACCTAGATTCATATGGACTCATCCTAGAGCTGGGGATGTCAGGAACCTCATGTTTTTAAAAAACACAGATATGCAAATGCAGATGTAAACACACCCACAGGCACACAGACTTCCCTCGCTCTGTTCACGGTACCGGTAACTCCGCAAGCAATGAGCACACCCAGTACCCGCATCTTGACTTCCAGGCACCACTCCCCACTAGGAAGGAACCAGAGTTCCTTGCAGAAACAGTGTGTCAGGGAGAGGAGGAGCCTGGGAGATCCTGTCTGGCCAGAAAATAATCAATTACTTAAAGAGACAAGAATGATGGGGACACGTTGAAAAGTAATTAGAAGCCAGTTTGAAGGGGTTCTCATTGGCCAAACCTGGGGCAGGAGCATCAAAGCAACGATGACAAGGGACTGTAGCTCATGTAGACATAAAGGACGGGAATGTGATCAAGAAAGGCTACTGACCATCTCAAGGTGCCTTCCCACAGAGCAATCATAAAAGGAACAAAAGGAGCTTTATGATGGACCTTAATCCAGTCGTCAGAGCCATGACAGCCAGTCTGACAGATCCAGCACACGCAGACCCACAGACCCGTCAGCACTGCAGGGAGGACACGGGTCACCTCTCTGATGCTCCTGTCGAACACGTGAGACCAGAATCTAAATGTGAGGGAGCACTAGACAAACCCAGATCTTCGGGCCCTTCTATGGGAGGGGATGACAACCGTCAAACACGCTGTCAGAGTCCAGGAAAGACTTAGAAGCTGCTCCAAACTGGCAGGGCCCAAAGAGGCGTGACAAAGAAATGCGACACCCGAGTCTGAGCTGGACTCTTGTCCCGTGAGATGCCGACTGGGACAAGTGCCAGGAGAGGCTTCGGTCTGAGGAGTCACGTTTTTCCTGATTTTGACTACGTAGGGGAATGTCCTTCTTCAGGGAAAATACACAATGGGGGTGGTGGTGGTGAAATTAGATCGACAACTTACTTTCAAACACTTATGAGGAAACAGTCCTTTGAATGGTTTGTAATTTTCTGTAAGTCTGAAACTATTTTAAAAAAAATCATAAAAACCAGACAGCACCTCACAGCTGTCAACCCAGGAAAAAGTAAATAATCCCTCCCATGTCTGACAAGGCTGCGGGGAAACAGCAGAAACTATGTGGCCAGTCGAACCATAAACCTGAGCATCCATTCTGATGGAGATTTGTCAATAACCAAAACAGCAATCCTACTTCTAGGATGGAAAAATGATTATGACATATTGAAAAGATGGTTACAAAAGAACATTTTTTTAAAAGCACACATACAGTAAGACAAAAGAATATGCATCAAAAGGTCAACAATGAGAGGCAGTGTTCCTGCTCAGTGGTCTTTGTTTTGCTGGACTCTTCCACACCCAACCCTGTATAATAAAAACTCATGCTTGACTCCTCCCATGGACCCTGTCTCAAGGACACAGTGTCCTGGGGTAGAAAGAAGTCAAAGCTCCACTTCAGGAATGCGCAGTGCGAGATGAAGAGAGACTTTCTCAAAGTCACACAGCTGGTCAGTGGGTACCCTACACCTGGTTCTAGTCCGCCTCACTGCTGAGCCCTGCTTCTCCTACTCCCTGGAAGACCAGAAATCCCACCACTGGAAACTTCCTTGGTGTCAGTTGTGCTGTAAGCTTGGGCAGTGGCTCACGTGGAAACCAGCAGACTCCTCCCTGGGGCAGGAGGGGCTGGTGGTCATCGGGCAGCATGCCACGTCATCCCCAGGACACCCCAAGCTCACTCCTGCACAAACCTGGCACCATCTGCTCTGACCCAACCCAAATGCTCCTCAACTGCAGCCCATGGTTCAATCTGCAAATACTGACAGAGCTGAACCACATGTGCCAGGAGCTACGGCAGCCCCACGGAGACGCAGACACAGACCCTGTCCCATGCTATCTGCAAGGAAAATGCAGCCTGGCGTCCAATACTCACAAAATAGATGGTGTTTTCAGGATTCTTATTCCACCAGGCTGATTGGGAAATACATCTTCCAAGAAAAAATATATGTGTCCAACTGCGATGCCTAGAGTTGCCCAAAAATAAAGAATGAGGGGCAGGATGAAAATTTTGATTACTAGTGGATCTACCAACATAAATTCTGTGTATTTAGGAAGAAATGTCACTATGGTTATTAAAAAACAATTTAAAAACTGGTATTGTAATCTTTGAGCATGCAACCATCAAACAATCCCAGAACAGCTGTATGTGAGCGCCAGACATGAAAAAACGGTGGTGACTAGTTCACACATAAAAACAAATAGAAAAAGTCACGATGAGGTTCTTACCCAAGAGGTCGACGATGATGGAGTTCCCCAGCAACAAGGAAAAGCCCATGAGCACCCAGGGCAGAAAGGGCGCCTGGAAATTGAGAAGGCCAAAAAAGTTCATCCGGACATACGGGTTCCTTCGGCTCCATACGTAGACGAGCATTATTGTAAAGGCCTGTCCCAGGAAAACTAAGCTCACAAACAAACCAAAAAGCTAGCAGATGGCATTAAGGAAAGTATCAACGTCAGTAGTGTGAGAGGGAAGGCGGAGCAAGATGGGGGGGGGGGGGGCTGGGCTCTAACATAGGTCTGAGGTAGGGCAGTCCCGAGCTAGTTAACCTGAGAGGGGGGGAAAAAGCCTGAAAATAATTACCCAGAGCAACCAGGCAAAAATCTGTGTGGGCCAGCACATCTGGACCATAGCTGCTTCCAGTTAATACCATTTCCACGAAGTTCTTGACTATTTGGGAAATACTGGAATTCCTCAGTCAATAATTATGTTAAGTTTCACTCACCATTAGCACCTTTAAGAGGTGAGTGAAGATAGCTGGAGAAACCGTCCCAGAACGGACTGTGTTCAAGGCTGTTACACCCATGGCAATAGTTAAAAATAATAATTTATCAGTTTTGATAGTGACTGAATAAATGTCTTGCCAACTTAGTTCAAAAGCACACATTGGGAGGGGCATGCCTGGGTGGCACTGTGTGTTAAGCGTCCGACTCAGTTTTGACTCAGGCCATGATCTCAGGGTTGTGGGATAGAGCCCCACGTTGGGCTCTGTGTTGGGCATGCAGCCTGCTTGAGATTCTCTCTCCTCCCCCCATGACAAACTCTCTCTCTAAAAAAAAGAAAGGTGGGCATGGGCAGCCCCTGTGGCGCAGCGGTTTAGCGCCACCTGCAGCCCAGGGCATGATCCTGGAGACCCAAAATCGAGTCCCATGTCAGGCTCTCTGCATGGAGTTGCTTCTCCCTCTGCCTGTGTCTCTGCCCCCCCACCCTTCTCTCTGTGTCTCTATAAATAAATTAAAAATCTTAAAAAAAATAAAAAAATAAAAAAAGAACGTACGCACATCGACAGTCATAAACCTAAAGTAGTAAAACGGTGACCCCGTGGGCTAACACTGCTTCTGACTTGCTCTCGGTACAGAGGCTCCTGGCCCAGCAAGGCCCAGCTTGAGGCTCAGAACACCATCCCAGAAAGTAAAAGAGCCATAGTGCCTGCAGCTATGGTGTGGAATCCACCTGTATCTGCTCAGCTTATCTAGTGGGCCGTGGAAGGCAGGTGGAGAGCTGTAGGAGGACACAGGGCATTTGGCAAGTTTTCCTGTATTCACTCTACTTGTTGAAGGATACAGTCATTAAGAATCCACCAAAAAGGAACATAAATACAAAGTCTGCTGTTCGACCTCGGAAAGAGCCTTCTTCTAGCATTCGACAGTAGCGGTACCTTAAGTGCCGAGTTAAGAAAACATTAAGCACACAATCAGGAAGACAGTAAAGTTAACGTGTTGCTGAGCTGCACCTGGACTCTGTGTCAGCTGGACCAGGCCAAGCCTTCATGTCCTCGGCATGTTCACAGGGAGTGTGGTTACTTCCCTTCCACCAGGCACCTTGGGCAAGGCAAAGACTAGCTCCGACTGGCTCTGCCCATGGCACAAAGCACTCCTGGCTGGGGAAGGAGCCTGACGCTGCACACACAAGCTTGCAGCTACTCAGGAAACCTTTCCAAACACGGGTCGTCTTTCCCACGCTCAGCCCCACGTGACCTGTACCACCCATGCTTTTTCACAACCTGACTTGGAAGGCACGCCCGGCAAGAAGCCTCGTGTGACGACAATCAACTTTCACAGGCCAGGCAGATTTGGCACTTCTGTACCTTGGCCAACAAGGATGTAGTATGATGAAAATACTTCACTCTGAGAAACTTACCAGGATGACGTATCACATGGAACCCATGGGACTCCATCCTAGGGCAGGAATCCTGCAACCCCAACAAAGCCCCCCCCCCCCCGTCTCCTGCAGACAATCTGAGCCGTAACTCCTCTATCACTCCAGAGGGTCAGGTGGAGGACAAATGTCCTGTTTGGAGGCCCCAATCATCCCCTGACCAGAGCATATCTCATTCCCTCTTTCAACAACTGGCACGTGGCCTGTCGGGCACCATCTTTCCAGCCAGCAGAACTGGCAACCAAGATCTAAGGATATCTCGTGTTCTCCGTTCCTCGTGAACCCCCTCCTCATGCCTGTACCCCGGCTCTGGGGCTTATCACCATATTCAGGCACCTGCTGATGTTATTTTGTAAATAGGCCTCAACTAACCCACTTTTCCTCTCCCTTGATCTGATTTGTAAGTGATTTATGGGCAGAAGGGTAATCACTCTGTGGTTGGATAGCTCCCATTAGAACAAGCAGGGACCAACAGAATGCCTTTAAAATACTACTTTCTGACCAACTCCTCTGTGTCCCACAGAGCCTGTACCCAGAAGTCACAGTTAAGAGAGTAACAAACACAGCAGCATCAATAGCTTTACCTTATATTGTATTCCCTACGTAAACCTCAAGTTTTGATGCTAACCCCCACTTAATAAAGGATACAGAAAAATCATGTTAAATAAAAAATTGAATCCAACTGGACCAAAAAATAAGAAATTGGTGATTAGCCTCCATATCTGTTAAAAGACAAAAAATCAAGAGAAAGACAGATTAGGTAAAATACACCAGGATACATTGCCACAGGAAGACAGAGGACATATCCTAGGGTCGCAATGGTCGTAAGGCCATGAATAAGTGATCGTATAATCTGAACCAAAAAGCAGGGCACACTCGATCTGACCCTGGATTTTTGTGCTACTTCTAGTTGGAAGTCTGAAAGATAGCACTCAGCTCCTAAAATTTCTAATAAGGATAATGGGACAGACACTTTGAAACTGTCGTTGTCTTTAAAAAAACAAAAAACCCAAGTTCTAGTCTAAATAAAGAGCCGACTCCCTGCAAGTAAAGATCTAATGCTCTAATAATTAGTCTAACTGGCAGATACAAGGACTCCTTTTGTCACGTTGGAAACCCTGGTATAGGTTTCCCTACCCAACACATCCACACCCACGATAAAAACAACTACTCACAAGGGGACAGAGCTCCACATTTTACAATGTTTCACCATGGTCTATGCTCTGGTGTGACCTTAATAACCCTGTGAGACCCAGGCTGGTACTTCCATCCTCATGTCCCACAGGAAGAACCCAAGACACTTGGAGAGCTTGCAAATGGCTTGCCCTGGGGAACTTGTACTGGGAGCCTCTGAACCCAGACCTGGAACTCCCAGCTCCAAATGCAAATGCTTGGTGTCACTGAGTTTAACCTCAGGCAAAACGGAGCCAAGTAAGTTAACAGGAAGCAAGGCCTGGAAGAGCCACAGCGCCTAGCCAAGGCCAGGTGAGTAGTGAAGGACAAAGGCAGTGACGAGAGTCTGCAGGACTTCTCTGTGCATCACTCAATTCTTCAGAATTGGGAACAAGATTGAAATAATTCAGTTCTATGCACTAACTGAGGCCAGGATTAGAGTTACCAGCTTAGCACGGAGACAAGTGTATAAATGAGTGCAAGCACACAGCGAGAGATGCTCTAAAGCAGTGTTTGCAGATACCCTGAGGGACACAAGGAGGGGGACTCTGTGAAGCTACACAAAAGTTGGAGCTCAGAGGGTGTGAAGTGAATGACACACACTTGAGGCAGAGGGAAGTGTAGAGGAAAAGGACGGACTCTTGGGTCCTTGTCCCACGCCAGCTACAGGCCACCTGATCATAAGACATCTCTCCTTTAGCGTTCTAACTACAGGAGAGGACGGTCTCCTACTGGGTTCTCACAAACTGGCATATTGTTGAAGTCAGTCTTCGGGTCTTTTGTTATTATCATCTGATCCCTGGAAGGTGGATCAATTTAAAAGCACTAACAGGGGATCCCTGGGTGGCTCAGTGGTTTGGCGCCTGCCTTTGGCCGAGGGCGTGATCCTGGAGTCCTGGGATCAAGACCCGTATCCGGCTCCCGGCATGGAGCCTGCTTCTCCCTCCTCCTGTGTCTCTGCCTCTCTCTCTCTCTCTCTCTCTCTCTCTCAATCTATCATAAAATCAATAAATACATCTTAAAAAAAAATAAAAGCACTGAGTTGAGTTTCTGTGGTGGGCCATGGAGATAACACTGAGGTGGTGAGTGGGCAACACAGGGACCCTCAGACTCTTCCTGGGCTGGTCAGTCTCCTCTCAAACTGCAATATTAACTCTGAATCTGTAATTTACTGTTTCTTTTTTTTTTAAGATTTTATTTATTTATTTGAGAGACAGAGCACAAGCAGAGGGAGCAGCAGAGGGAGAGGGAGAACCAGACTCCCCACTGAGTGTAGAGCCTGATGTGGGGCTTGATCCTAGAACCCTGGGATCATGACCTGAGCTGAAGGCAGACGCTCAAGTGCCTGAGCCTCCCAGGCATTCCTGAAGCAGTAATTTCTAAATATAGGAACTGGACACATCAAATCAAAACCATGCACTTTACAAATAAAAATCACCTTTGGTGATTGCAATTTGGGTACATGATGAGGAACCTGAGAATGTCTTAAACAGTCCCTAGGTGACTCTGAAACCCAATCAGGATGGAGAACCACGGCTTTATTACCACCCTCCCAGCCCCACATCAAGACTCACAATCAAATATTCCCACTGGATTCTTGTTTTGACAAGAAGGCAGAGGATCTGCTATCAACAAGTATAAAAAAAAAACCCTCAAACCAACCAAGTTTAACCACTGGCACGTGAACCGTGGCTGTGACGACCACTTACTTGGAAGTGTTTAAAGATTAACTCAGGATTGAAGTACAATTGGAAAGGGGTGATCAATTCCAACTGCTGGAAAAAAAAAAAAAAAGCTGCTTAAAGCGAGTCCAGCAAGAAACAAGTCCCACCACGTCCCCGTCTCACTCCTGCCAAGCCCTCTGAGGCTTTCCTCTTAGGCGGGAGGACGGGATCGGTACAGAGTCCCGTACAAACGCGACCACTCCCTGCACCCCGCTACCTAACAAAGAAATCAAACTGTCTCCTGTGGCGATAGCTGGGGTTGACCTGAGGGCAGGGCGGGCTGGTGGGGCTGCCCTGGACCCCGGGGGCAGCTGCCCATCACCTAGGCGCCGCCTGGAGCAGCTGGGCCAAGCCACACAGCTCACCGGGGGCTCCCCCACGGCGTCCCCCCAGGCTCTGCCCTCCCGGCAGCTTCCAGCCTCCCTAAGCCCCCCGCCCCTGCCCCCCAGGACCACTTGCCCCTCGCCCGCAGCTCCGACCTGCTCCAGGTCCACCCTTCTCTCTCGGACACCCGCCTGCAGCCCTGACCCTGCACCCCGTCCTGGGGCAACAGTCCCTCGCCGGCTCGCTGGACAGGCCACCCGGAACCCCTCCAGAGCCAGCCCCGGACGCCTCCACCCACTCCTGGGACCAACCCCTCGGGAGCTCCTCCGAGGCTCCAACCCCCGCCTCCCGAGGTCTGTAGCGCGGACAGACAGAAGCTGGCGCTGCAGCTGCTCACCACAGCAGCGGTGGTGAGGACGCAGGCGGTGGTGTAGGCGCGGCTGACGGGCGGGATCTGCAGGTACTCCAGCCGGAGGCTCTGGTACGCCATCTTCCCCACCGCCGCCGGCCCCCCCCCACTTCCCCTTCCGCCAGTCAGCCCCGGTGGCGGGGCGGGACCAGAGCGGGCTGTCGCCCAATCAGCGCCGCGCAGACGGCCAGCCGCCAATCGCCGGAGCCCTCGGCAAAGCGCGCCGACCAATCATGAGTTGCGCCTCCGCGGGGCCCCGCCCGGCCGCCCCACCCACCAGCCCACAACGTCAGGGAGAGGCGTGTCAGTCCCCCGCCCTTGGCCAATCCCCGCCGGCCACAGCTGGCTTTCCCGCCCGGCCCCTTCGGCGTCGCCCAGCGAGGCGGCCGCGCGCGACCGGCCAATCAGGAGCACGACGCCGTCCCGCCCGGGCCCTCGTTCGCTGGGGCCGGATTCGGTCGGCATCCGGGAAGCTAGCGGCCCCGCCTCTCCGCAGCTGCAGGCGCTGGTTTAAAGGCGGTGGCGGGAAAAGCCGGAGCGCGGTTGGTGTCGTCGCCCTCGCGCCCGCTCGGGTAAGGGCCGTGGAGCCGCATCTCCTTCTCGGGGCAGGGGGGAGGCGACAGAAGCGGCCGCGCGCCGCCTTCCCCGAGCTCCGGCTGGCCGCGGGGCCGCGGGGCCCGACGGGAGCTGGCGCCGCGCCGGAAGCGGCCTCCGCGAGGCGTGGCTGAGGTGGGGGTCCCGAAGAAGAACCGGGTCGGCGTCGGGGGGGGAGGTGGCGTACCTGTCCTGGCGGGCAGGCCCTGGAGGGGGGCCCTGATGGGGAATCCTAGGTATGGGGAGTGGGGTGGCCCTCCTGGGGAAGAAGGCCCGGGTCAGGGGGCGCTGGCGGGGAGGCCTAGGTATGTGGGGGTCCTGGGGGAGAGTCGCTGGCGGAGGAACGATGGTGGGGAGGCCTGGCAGGGAAGGTAGGCCCAGGTGCGGGGCCGCTGGCGGAGGCCTGCTGGCGAGGGGAAGGCCCTTCGAGGGGGAGGTCCTGCTCGGAGGGCGGGGGGTGTTGCGCTGGGGGGAGTCGAGAGCGGCTGGGCTGCCAGCGGCCCTCGGAGGTGCAGGTGCGGGTGCGCCTCACAGCATCTGTCCTTGAGGGAGCAAGAACCGTCACCCGGAAGGAAGGTAGCTCGTCCCCGCAGGCAAGGTGGAGAGTGTCAGGCTTCGTTCGCTCGGCTATTAGGACGCACTGAGGATCTTTGGAACAGGGAGTGACCATCAGGTAGGGTGGTGGACTAGGAAGGATGCAAGCAGAGGGCTGGGGAGAGCAGGTACTTGGCTGGAGGGAGAGGTGCTGGACCTTCCCGGTAATCAGAGAGATCCATGTTGAAATAGCTTTGCCTGGGGGGCGGGGGGTGTTAGAATCCCATGCTGGGTGTAGAGTTTACTTAAAAAGTAAATTTAGAAAAAGTTCTTCCCACTCCCCAGATATCACCTGCACAACCCATGGGTAAATCCGTGCTGAATGTATTCCTTGTCTCAGTAGAGGGAGGACACCTCCAGGAGCTTTGGCAGGCTCTCCAAGGGACAAGGGCAAGAGGGGAGGTTGAGAATTGCAAGTGTGGATTGAAGTGGAGCTCTCCATATAGGGCTCCATGAGGGCTGGGTGGGAGTCCTGCACTCACAGTCCAGGATTGGTAGAAACAGTTGAGGCAGGGGTTTCTGAATCTCAGGGTCCATGCACATCATCCATGCTTTCCGTGGAAGAGTTGATCCCTTTGGACAATGAAAGTACTCTGGTCTCCCAGAGTGATAAAGTCAGGCCGATGTCCACAGTATGTTAGGTGGGACAGGAGAGTGTGGTTTCAGCCCTCTGTGTCCAGCCTGTGTGTGGGCTAGATGGCTGTGGTTTTCTTTATTTTTTTATAAATAAGTTCTCATAACTTAATTTTTTTTTTTTTTAAGAGAGAGCATGAGTGCACAGAGGGTTTACAGGGAGGGACAGAGGAAGAGAGAAAATCCACTGGGTATGGAGCCTAACTCGGGGCTCAGTCTCACAACCCTGAGATCATGACTGAGCCAAAGTGAAGAGTTGGACCCCTAACGGATGGAGCCACCCAGGCGCCCCAGTTTTGGTTTTCAAAAAGCAACACCCTAAAACAAATTTACACCTATCAGATTAGCAAAAATTAGAATATTGAATGTCCAGTATTAGTGAAGACATAAGAAATTTTCATATGCTGCCAGGGGGAGTGTCAGCCTAACCTGCCTCCTCCCCCCAAGTGTTCTAGAGAACATTTCACAGTATTTTGCAAAATCACGTTATGAATCAGCTGCACGGCCCAGCAGTTACTTGCCTCTGTAAATAACATGCGTGTATATCTCTGAGGAGACATGGGAGGGTGTTCATGACGTTATTTCTGGTAGGAAGTGCTAAGAGCAAACTAGGTGTCCGTCACAAGAAGGCATGCTGAGCGTGGCGTGTGTGTGTGTGTATGTGTGTGTATGATAAAGTTGAGGGAGTATGTCAGAAGCAGTGTAGGGATTACAAACATACAAGAATAAACAGCTACATACAAAGCTGTCTTTAAGAATGTCTACAACATATCTGGGATGAATTAAAGTTGGATTGAAAAGATACCTATTAAAATGCCAGAGTGGGTTTGTATGGGAGATAAAAGATGGGAGAATAAGAAAGGAACCAAAAATAGTGCTGTGAAATGGGAAGTATCAACTCAGTGACACACACCCGCGGTCCTTGAACAGGGAGACTGGTTGGTATAGGTCAGATGATGAAGGCACTTGTAAGCCATGTTGACAGAGTTTGAGCTTGATCCTGCAGGAAGGCAAAGGGGAGTGGGAGGGAATGAAGATCCTGCCAACCACAGAATCCTTTTCTAAGACATGGAAAAGAAAGCAGTTTTATTACTGAGTACGCATGTCCAGATGGCAGGGCATCGGAGGTCACCTGTGGATGAGATGAAAAGGACAGGAAGGAATTCGACCCTATTTTCATAGCCAAGCAGTTACACCTAGTTGTTAGCTATCACATACATACAAATTCTGTCATCCCCTAAGATTTGACTGAACCATTTACTTTAAGTTCTTTCATAAAGATTATCCTAAATTCACCTGGTGACTGAGATAGCCATTTGTTTTTAGCTAATTGTCTTTATCTGAAGGAATAATGGACCATCTCTTATTTCTAGGATAAGCGTATTGGTACAGCTCAGAAAAGGGTGCCTTGGTTAAGGCCCTGCAGTGTCAGGGAGGGATCAGAGTGCCATCTTTCTAGATGATGACGCTTGAAAAAACAGGTCATGGTTGTAAAGCTGACAGGAAACTTACTCAGCCTGCCATTGGGGGTTTTTCAGGCGGTGAGGTTGGAAGGATAAGGAGCACAGGACGTTGGTGTTGATGTGGTTGGAGTGCGGGATCAGGGAGCCTGGTGGGAAGGGAAGGAAGTGAAGCGGGTGGGACTATAAGGAAGAGGATCCCGGGGCTGAGAGTCCTGACGGCTAAGGTGGAAGAAGAGCATATGAGGTTGTGGTCAAAAAGTAGGTGCACCTGGGGAGAGGTTGCAACTAGCAGTAGCCACGGTGGCCAGAAGAGTGGAGACAAAGGCCGCTGAAACTCCAGAAACCTAGTCTCTTGGGCGTTGCTTGAGTCCAAATGCCATGAAAATCGTCTGGGACTGTAGCAGTTCAGGAGTCTGAGCCCTGGGCCAGAGCCCTGTCTGATGAGAGGTGAGGGAAAGCGCCAGAGAGCCAGGGGTTTGTTCCCTATGGGACGAGCAGGGCTGCAGGGAGTGTCAGGCATTGGGGAACACATGTGCCTTGGGTTTTGTTTGCTGGCTTCCTGGCTCTTTGCAATATAGGAATTGTTGCTTTCATCAGCTGATTTCTTATACAAATGAATTTTTTTCTCTCTTTATGTTTGCAGATTTTTCATAGTCAGAATTAACCAAACAAAATAAGCCAAGATGTCTGTGGACCCGATGACCTACGAGGCCCAGTTCTTTGGCTTCACACCGCAAACCTGCATGCTGAGAATCTACATTGCATTTCAAGACTACCTGTTTGAAGTGATGCAGGCCGTCGAACAGGTCATTCTGAAAAAGCTAGGTGACCTCCCAGGCTGTGAGATCAGCCCCGTCCAGGTTCGTAAATGCACAGAGAAGTTCCTCGGCTTCATGAAGGGACGTTTCGATAACCTTTTTGGCAAAATGGAGCAGCTGTTTTTACAGTTGATTCTGCGCATTCCCCCAAACATTTTGCTTCCGGAAGACAAACCCCAGGAGCTGCATCCTTGTAGTGAGGAAGAGTTCCGGCTCCTCCAGGAGGAAATTGAACAGTTACAGGAGAAGTATAAGACCGAATTAGGTGCTAAGCAGGCCCTTCTCGCAGAATTAGAGGAACAAAAAATTATGCAGGCCCAACTTAAGCAGACACTGGTTTTGTTTGATGAACTCGAAAATGCTGGCCGAGATCACGGGACTAGTGATTTCAGGGAAAGCCTGGTGTTCCTGGTCCAGAACTCCAGAAAACTACAGACTATTAGGAACACTGTGGAACGGGAAGGCAAGAGAATGAAAATACTGTAATTTCTAAGTAGTGACAGGAACCCGTCAGAAAGTAGAATAGGAAGGGATTGATGTGAATGATATTCTGGTGAACTGAATGTCTTACGGGATTTCATTTATTGGCTCTTTCTTGTACTCGGCACTTCCCTCTGTCTGGCCCCACTCTGCTAGGGCATCTACACTACCCTAAACTAATCCTTGGAGCCCGTGTTCCCTAGAGACCTCTCACAGGTGGGAAGGGGTTCCTGGTCCAGCAGCATGTCACCGGGCACCAGGACTGCAGAGAGATCTGTAAAAGCAGTTCCTTGATCAGGGGCTCCTTGTAACCTTGATCCTTCTGACTTACTCTTTGGATGTGATCAAATGAGAAAAAAGGTTAAGTGGGCGGCTTTGTTAGGAACCAGCTATTGCATGGCTGGATGGGTGCTGGCACCCGTGGCCTGCTCTCTCCACGAATTGCCTGACACAGCAAGTTAGCCGATGGGAAGAAGCAAATAGAGAAACACCACCTGTGTGATCCTTA